CCAACTAGATGGGATTATAGGCATGTATCAATACACTCAGATTGTCAATTCATATTCAGTTCATGTTATTTAAAGTAACTCATAACTTTAATATTCTTTTTCTTTTTTTTCCATTCGGGACATTGAACCCAGTTGAACCCAGCCCTTTTGTATTGAGCTACATCCCCAATTCTTTTATTTTTTTATTTTGAGACAGTTTCACCAAGTTGCTAAATTGTCCAGGCTGGGCTTGAATTTGTGATAATCCTGCCTCTGCCTCTCAGAACACTCAGATTGTAACTATGTGCTACCAGCTGGGGATATAGCTCGGCAGCATAAGCACCTGCTTGGCAAGCACAAGGTTCTGAGTTCAATTTCTGGTACCAAAAAACCCCTATAACTATGTGCTATCATGCCCAACTTTTTATTTTTTATTTATTTATTTATTTTTGGTACTGGGGATCGAATTTATGATCTTGCGCTTGCTGGGCAAGCACTTATACCGCTGAGCTAAATCCCCAGCCCTGGTGCCCAACTATTTTTAAAAACTTAATATATAGGGACGGGCATGGTGGCTCACGCCTGTAATCCCAGCACTCGGGAGGCTGAGGCAGGAGGATCATTGCAAGTTTGAGACTAGCCTGGGCTACAAAGTAAGCTTAAGGCCAGCCTGAACTGCATAGGGAGACCCTGTCTCAAAAAAAAAAAAACAACTTAATATATAGCAGGGAGTGGTAGCACATGCCTGAGATCCCAATATTTGGAAGGCTGAAGCAGGAGGATCGCCATGAGTTCAAGGCCAGCCTGGGTTACATAATGAGTTCAAGACCAGCCTGAGCTAGGGAAACCTGTCTCAAAAAAACAAATAAACAACAAATAACAACAGGCCTCTGAACAGGAATAGTGACAGGGGCCAAGATATGACTGGGAGTAAGGCCCTGATTTCAATCCCCAGCACCAAAAGACAAATAATAAAACCCCACAAAATACTGGTGAAGTTATTATTAAAATACTGGACCGCATGGTGACATGTCCCTGTGTCCCCTCTCCTGAGGAGAATTCATCAGGAAACACCCTGGAGCACAGGAGTTCCTACCAGACCGACAACACAGGAAGACCCAGGCTCTTACACAGACAAGAAAAAAAACCCAAAATGCTGCCCTGTCTTAATGCTCTATTTAAAGTGAGCCGTAGGCCAGGTGTAGTGGTGGATGCTTGTAATTCCTCCTACTCAGGTAGGAGGACCATTGTGAGTTTGAGGCCATCTTGGGCTACATAGTATAGGCAAGTCCAGCCTGAACTACATAGTGTGACTTAATCAATCAAGGCATAAAACTCATTGAATGCACCGTCAGCTTAGTAGGTTTTTGTGTGATTTCTTCACCAACAGAGCCAGGCAAGCAACCAATGCCTGCAGTTGGCATTGATCGTGGCACCACCTACTTCTGTGTGGGCGTCTTCTATCATAGAAAAGTGGAGATAATCACCAGTGACCCGGGAAATCGAGCCACTCCAAGTTATGCTGCTTTCACTGACACTCAACAATTGATCGGAGATGCTGCAAGACATCAAGTGGCAAGGAACCCCACCAGCAATTTTTGGTGCCAAGCATCAGATTGGACATAGATATGATGACACTGTTTCCAGTCTGATATGAAGCATTGGCCCTTCACGGTGGTGAATGATGCAGGCATGCCAAGATTCAAGTAGAATACAAAGGAGAGAAGGGGCTGGGGATTTAGCTCAGCGGCATAAGCGCCTGCCTTGCAAGCAGGCAGTCTTGAGTTTGATCCCCGGTACCAATAAAAACGAAAAAGAAAAAAAAAAAAAAAAAAGGAGACAAGGAGCTTCCATTCAGAGAAGGTGTCTTCTACGGTGCTGGCAAAGATGAAGGAAATTGCAGAAGTTTACCTTGAGAAGACCATTACCAGTGCTGTGGGCACTAGGCCAGCTTCCCCGCCCCCCCAAATCCATTTTATTTCAAGTAGAATACGAAAAAGAAAAAAGAAGAACAAACAAAATAAAAAACTAAAAATTTCAAAGCACATCAAACGGGGCAACAATGGCACATACATTGTACATTGTCATCCTCAAATCATTTACCCAGAGCACAAGACATCTGCATTCAATTTGTGCCAGCTAAATTTACTGACTCAGCATCAAGCAACCAAAGATGCTAGAACTATAGCTGTTTTGGTTTTTTTGTTTTGTTTTGTTTTTTGGGGTGGTGTGTGTGTGTGTGTGTGTGTGTGTGTGTGTGTGTGTGTTTGAGATAGGGTCTCACTATGTAGCTCAGGCTAACCTGGAGCTCACTTTGTAGCTCAGGCTGGTCGTTTTTTTTTTTTTTTTTTTTTTTTTTGTCTTTTTTCGTTTTTATCGGTACCAGGGATCGAACTCACGACTGCCTGCTTGCAAGGCAGGTGCTTATGCCGCTGAGCTAAACCCCCAGCCCCAGCTCAGGCTGGTCTTGAACTCACAACGACCATTTTGCCTTAGCCTCCTGAGTTCTGGGATTACAGGGAGGCACTACCACACCCAGTTTATTGCTGGTCTTAATGTACTTAGAATTATCAGTGAGCCAACAACTGTTGTTATCATTTATGGTTTAGACAAAAAAGGTTGGAGCTGAAAGAAATGTACTGATTTTTTATTTAAGAGGTGGCACTTTTGATGTATCAATCCTCAATATTGAAGATGGAATCTTTGAAATGAAATCTATAGCCTGAGACACCCCTTAGGTGGAGAAGATTTTGACAGTCGAATAGTCAATCATCTTATTCAAGTGCAAGCATAAGAAGAACATCAGTGAGAACAAACGAGCTGTCCGCTGTCTTTCTACTGTGTGTGAATGAGCTAAGAGAACCCTCTTCCAGCACCCAAGCTAGTGCAGAGATTGATTCCTTCTGTGAAAGAATTGACTTCTATACCTCGTTACTCATGCTCAGTTTGAAGAGTTGAACATTGGTCTGTTCTGTGGCCCTCTGGACCCTGTGGAGAAGGCTCTTCAGGATGCTAAACTGAACAAGTCATAGATCCATGACACTGGATGGTATTTCTTCTACCCACATCCCCAATATCCAGAAGTTTCTATAAGACTTTTTCAATCTAAAAGAATTGAATAAGAGCATCAACCCTGATGAGGCTGTTTATGGCACAGCTGTTCGGGCAGCCATTCTATCTGGAGACAAATCCAAAAATGTTCAAGATTTGCTGCTCTTGGACATCACTCCTCTTTCTCTTGGTATTGAAACTGCTGGTGGAGTCATGGCAGTCCTCAAGAGAAATACTATCGGGGCTGGGGATTTAGCTCAGCGGCATAAGCACCTGCCTTGCAAGCAGGCGGTCGTGAGTTCGATCCCTGGTACCGATAAAAAGGAAAAAGACAAAAAAAAAAGAGAAATACTATCATTACTACCAAGCAGATGTAGACCTTCACTACCTACTCTGACAACCAGCCTGGTATGCTCAGTCAGGTATATGAAGGCAAACGTGCCATGACCAAGGGTAACAACCTGTTTGGCAAGGTTGAACTCACAGGCACATCTCCCACACCCCATGGTGTTCTTCAAATTGAAATCGCTTTTAATATGGATGCCAGGGGCTGGAGATTTACCTCAGTGGCACAAGCATCTGCCTGGCAAGTGTGAGGTTATGAATTCGATCCCCAGAACCAAAATACCACTACTACTACTACTACTACTACTACTAATAATAATAATAATAATATTGATGCCAATGGCATCCTCAAGGTCTCTGCAGTGGACAAGACAGGAAAAGAGAACATGATTACCATAACTAATAATAAGAGCTGTTTGAACAAGGAGGATGTAGAATGTATGTATGGTCTGTTAGAGTACTCTGGAGCAACAGAGAAGCAAAAGTATAAAATGAACAAGTTTATTGAGTTGAGGATGTGGAAAGGAGCACACAACTCATGACGGCTGGGCTGCCTCCTTGGACCAGATACAGAGAGCCAGAGAGTTATGTATTGAAGTGACGCATGGTGCGGATATTGATGATGTGTGAGGAACCAAGGAAGGGGAGTTGCAATTAGGGCTGAAGAAGAAGCAGGAAGTGGTAAGCATTCCCACTTTGGCCTTCTGCCACATTAGGCCACTGCCATAACTGTACAGTAATTTATTCTAGGGCAAAACTCTTTCATGGTCCAGGAAGCAGAAAAGTACAAAGCTGAAGATGAGAGACAAAGGGACAACGTGTCCTCCAAGAATTCACTCGAGTCCTCTGCCTTCGATATGAAAGCAACTGTTGAAGGCAAGAAACTTCAGGGTTTCAATGATGAAGACAAACAGAGGATTCTTGAAAGTATAATGAAATCATCAACTGGGTGGAAAAGAATCAGACTGCAGAGAAGGAAGAATTTGAACACCAGCAGAAGGAGCTGGAGAAAGCCCACAATCCCATCACCACCAAGCTGTACCAGAGTGCAGGTAGCTGCCTGGAGGAATTCTGGGGGTTTCCCTGGTGGAGGAGCTTCTCCCTCTGGTGGTGCATCCTCAGGGCCCACCACTGATGAGGCTGATGAGCCCCAAATAGAATTAGTTAGCATTCTTCCACAATGATAATAAAGTCGAAGGACCTAAATTTGTAGCAGATTCTGTGGCAGTTATTAAAGTTTCACTGCTGTAGTAAAGTACTGGGCATTCTCAATACTTTAACAATGGAACATGTACACAGGGAAAAGATAACACTGTACTTTTTAAGCACTGTATGTAATCAGAAATGCAAAGTCTTCAATAAAACTATTTAAAATTGGTAAAAAAAAAAGGTAAAGGCATAAAGCAACAGAGTATACTAAGTATAATGTTAAAATAATTTATGGTAAGATCTATACTATTAAAATATTAGCAAAAAGGTATGTTTCCATTTTTTTTAATTTTATTTTATTTGGTTTCCAAGAGTGAACTCACAACTTGTGCTTGCCAGGCTTGTGCGTGTGTCACTGAGCTATATTACTGGTCCTATGTTTCCATTTAATTAGTTAATGTTTCCTTATAGTACAACCAGAAGAGGTGCACATACATCACAAGCTGCAAGAGAGTAGCAGGTGAGTCCAGGGTGAAAGGCTGGAAATTTTGCATTTGATTTTAATGTGAAGGGGATCTGGAAACATCATGCCAAGAATGAGCTCATCAGGTCATGCTGGTTCTATTGTCTGCCCATCTCAGCTCTAAGGACAGCAGGTGTGTTTGAAGATTGATGTAATGTTTTTGTTCCACATGGTCCAGTGCCCTCGGCATTACTAGAAACAGTCCATCTGAGTAAAATTAATTAGCAAATATGCAAAGATTGACTAATGTTAATGGTCAGAGGAATCAGAATAAAATATACTTACTTGTACTTGCAAGGGAATTTTGAAGTTATATTGAAATAAAGGAAAAAACAGTATTTTTTTTGGTTGTTATTTAGGCTGGCCTTGAGCTTTCAGCAATCCTTTTGTGTGTGTGGCAGATTATAGACATGTGCCATCACACCTGGCCCTTTTTTTTTGTTTGTTTCCAGACAGGATCTGGTTTAGTTGCTCACAGTGGTGTAGAACTCATGGTTGTGTGGCCTCAAAGTATTGAGTAGAGGAGACTATGAGATTGTGGCTTTGCACACACCTCCCCCTGCAAGCTTGCTCCTGTTTTTTGTTTTTTGTTGTTATTGTTTTGAGACAGGGTCTCACTATGCAGTTCAGGCCGGCCTTCACCTCACTTTGTAGCCCAGGCTGGTCTCCATCTTGCAAGGATCCTTCTGTCTCAGCCTCTGAAGTGCTGGGATCATAGGCATGTGCCTATACCCAGCAAACCTGCTACTTTTAATTGCTCATGTTTTTTTTGGTACTGGGAATTAAACTCAGCCTTGTGCTTGCCAGGTAGGTGCTGTGCCACTGAGCTATATCCCTAGCCCAGCTGCTCACTTTCTTTTTTTTTTTTTTTTGTCTTTTTCCTTTTTATCTGTACCAGGGATCGAACTCATGACTGCCTGCTTTCAAGGCAAGCGCTTATGCCACTGAGCTAAAGCCCCAGCCCCTAACTTTCGAAACTCTAGAAAGGCTAAATATTTCAAATAAGAATGTAGCTTTCCCACTATAAAGATAGTAGCATCAAATAACTTTACAGATGTAACAAAGGCTATAATTTGAATGCATCTTCTAATAGAAACATTCTGATCCAGATCTGCCCTGGAATCTCCATAACTGACAGGTCATGACCCTTGGCCAGCCAGCTGGCCACACGCTAATCTCCTATCTCATTGGTCAACCTCAACTACATAGAGAGATCCTGTCTCTAGGGATAAATAAATAGAGCCAGGGATGTAGCTCAGCACTGCAGTGCCTGCCTGGTAAACATGAGGCCCTGAGTTCGATGCCCAGTACCAAAAAAGAAAACAGTAAAAAAAAAGAAAAAAGCCTCTTAATTAAATAAATAACTAGGAATGTTCTGATCTAGAACCAGCAGAGCATATTTGCAGGAAAACTATTTTGAGTGTACTGGTTTCTCCTTACTGCTCACAGTGAGAAATACAAGAAGACACAGATAAATACTGAAGGAAATGGGGCTGGGGGTTTAGCTCAGCGGTGTAAGCACCTGCCTTACAAGCAGGCAGTCATGAGTTCAATCCCTGGTACCGATGAAAACGAAAAAGACCAAAAAAGAAAAAAAAAAAAAAAATTGAAGAAATTGAGCCAGGCGAGATGGCGCATACCTATAATCCCAGCACTCTGGTGACTGAGTTTGAGGCCAGCTTGGGCTACATAAACAAGTTCAAGGCTAGCCTGAATTGCAAAGTGAGACCCTGTCTTAAACAAACAAACAAAAAGAATTGAACCCAGTAGGAATTGAACCCAGTGCTTCTGTGCTGAGGCAGCTCCCAAGTCCTTTTTAGCTTTTATTTATTGAGACAAGGTCTTCCTAAATTTACTGAGCAGATTAACACACTGCAGTCTCAAAGAATCCACAATAAAGCTACCAGGACTAAATGAATTCAGCAAATTTGCATGTTAGAAGATTACCACCCAAAATCATTTGTCATTTTGGGGGTATAGCTTAGTGGCAGAATACTTGCCTAGCAAGCTTGAGGCCTAGGTTCCATCCCCAGGACTGAAAAACAAACACCCCAAAGCAAAATTGTTGTATATCTGAGTATCAGCAATGAAATAATTCAAACAGGAAGTTAAGAAAGCTGTTTCACTTACAATAACATCTAAAAAAAATCTAGAAATAAATTTACAAGATGGTAAAGGGGTGGTATGCTGAAAACTATAATACATTCCTGAAGGACATCAAACAAGAGCTAGGCAGAGTAGCACACACCTGGAATTCTAGCATTTAAGGAGGTTGAGACAAGAGGATCACAAATTCAAGTCCCTGCCTAGGGAAATTAGTAAGATGCTGTCTCAAAATTTTATATATATATATGTATATATATAGTATGGAGCCAGGCATGATGGCACACACCTATAATCCCAGCACTCAGGAGGCTGAGACAGGAGGATCATGGCAAGTTCAAAGCCAGCGTGGGTTACAAAATGAACTCAAGGCCAACCTGAACTGCATAGTGAGACTCTGTCTTAAAAAGACCAAAAAATAAGTCAGGTGTGGTGGCTCATGCCTGTAATCCCAGCACTCAAGAGGCTGAAGCAGGAGGACAGTTGCAAGTTCGAGACCAGCCTGGGCTACAGAGTGAGCTCAAGACCAGCCTGAACTGCATAGGGAGACCCTGTCTCAAAAAGACAAAAAAATAAAAATAAAAATAAAGGATTAGGAATGTAGCTCTGTTGTAGAATTCTTGGATCCCTAGTACAGAAACAAATAAATAAATGAAAACCTTGAAAAAATGCAAAGATCTTCTGTGTTCATGGACTGAAAGCTTTAATATTACTAATATGACAGTATCATCTATAATTCTTAAAAATCTTGTAATTTAGGGGCCGGGGGTTTAGTTCAGCAGTGTAAGTGCCTGCTTGGCAAACGTGAGGTTGTGAGTTCGATCTGTAATTTCCATGTGGCAAGTTCCTTTTTTGTTTTGTTTTGTTCATTTGCTCTTTTTTGAGGCAGGGTTTCATTATATGGTTCAAGCATTAAACTCACTTTGTAGCCCAGTCCTAACTTGCAGACATCCTCCTGCCTCAGCCTCCCACGTGCTGGAATGACAGGTGTGTGTTCCATCGTGTTCAGCTTTTTGTTGTTGTTGTTGTTGTTATTCATAACAAGCCCTTTACAGATATACCTAAGTTTATATTAGGGAGGTAAATTTTAGAAAGTCCCTAGACAACCATAGGAGCTCATTACCAGGGGGAACCAACCACATGACTAGATGTTAGAGCTTTCAGTCCAACTCTTGGACTTTCAGGAAGAATGGGGTCAAAGTCTGAATTGATCATTGATGGCCAAAGATAGAACCAAGCATGCTTCTTAGTTTAAATATGAAGCATCCCCTGAGACTCACAGACTGGGGACCAGACCCCACTGTATTCAGAGGGTTAGACTGTGAGCTGACTGACTTCAGCAATAGACTGACCGATTGAGCTCATGGCCAAGCAGGTTCTTACAAGGTAAGGCCTACTTGGAGGGGACCAGTCAAAGAAGGTGAGGCTTGAAAGGTGCATTCCAGTCCAGGCCTCTGGATTCTCTGACTTCTATTCTCCGTGCTTCCTGGCTGCCACGAGGTGAGCAATTTCCTCTGCAAAGCCCTTTCATACTGATATATCTGATGCAGAACCAGTGAGGAGTGAAACTTCTGAAAACATGAGCCAAAATAACCTTTCCTACTTTAAACTGTGTGTGTCAGGGATTTGGTCACAGCAAGGAAAAGCTGATTAATACAATGTCTATGTGCTGGAGCCTCTATCAAAACCCCAACAGGACAGAGTTTAAAGAGCTCCCAAATCGGTGAATAAGAACACAGCAGCAGCTGCAAGGTAGAACACTCCAAATCCATGATGCCTGAGGCTCCTGTGTTAAAGGTCTCTCTAGACTTCACCCTCCCTGCTTACCTCTTCATCTGGATGTTCATTTGTGTATGTATGTATGTATGTATGTATGTATGTATTTATTGGGGGGTTTTGGAGACAGAGTCTCACTGTGTAGTGCAGCCTGGCCTTGAAATCACTTATGTAGCCCAGACTGACCTCAAGCTCACAGCAATCCTCCTGATTCAGCTTCCTGAGTGCTGGATTATAGGCATTCACCATGGCCAGCCATCTGTGTGTTTGTAGTAAGCAGAGCATGTTAGGGCACAGCTGTAATCCCAGCACTCAGGAGGCTGAGGTAGGAGGATTACCTAGAGTGTAAGGCCAGTTTGGGCAACAGTGAGATCAAGCCCAGCCTGAACTACCTAACAGACCCTGACTCAAAAAAATAAAATCAATAAGAATCTTTTTTTTTTTTTTTTTTTTTTTTTGGTATTGGGGATTGAACTCACAACCTCATGCTTGCCATGAGCAGGCACTTATGCCACTGAGCTAAACCCCCAGCCCAAGAATCTTTTTTAATAAATGGATAAATGGGGAAAGAAAGCAACCCATTCACCTCCCTGGTAAGCAGCTGTGGCTCAAGCAAGCTGCGAGCACCCCAGGGGGAGAACCAGCCAGCGTCTCATGAGATCCATGCCATGTTGGAACTTATGGCACTGGGAAACAAAGAATCTGCTCACCTCCCTGGTAAGCACCTGTGAGCCTACCGGTGTGTGGGCTGAGAATCAAACATCCCATCCTTCTCTCCCCCCCATCCCCGTTAGCAAATGGGAGCCAGATGTCTGAGCATCTCTTGGGAGGATGACTATATGCAATATAGCAAATATGGGGGATTTCTTTCTACCATCTCTTTGAAGGCAAATATTGTTATCACTGTTTTGCTTTGTTCTGATTATTTGTATTGCTCTATTCAATATTCTGTTTTGATAAATTCTATAATATTCTGTGTTTGGTTTGATTTTGCTATACCTGATTGAATGGACAACTATTGTGAAGGTAAGAGGTATACTATGGTACCTGTTACTATTATTCCGGCATCATGCTGTGAAGTTCTGTATCCATTTCACTGCACTGTCTTAATTGGCTTTGTTCTGTTGTATTTTACTACCTTCAGAATAATAAGAAAGAAAATTATAATGATTCACCAGTGGTAATAAAATTAAGTACATGGGGCTAGGGATTTAGCTCAGTGGCATAAGAACCTGCCTTGCAAGCAGGCGGTCGTTAGTTTGATCCCCGGTACCGATAAAAAAATTAAGTACATACTCTTCATACACAAAAGAAATAAATGGATAAATTAAGTACATGTGTGGGGCTGGAGATTTAGCTCAGCGGCATAAGCGCCTGCCTTGCAAGCAGGCAGTCGTGAGTTTGATCCCTGGTACTGATAAAAACGAAAAAGACAAAAAAAAAAAAAAAGTACATGTGTCTTGCCCATTTTTTTTTCTTTCTTTTTTTTTTCTTTTGGTGCTGGGAGTCAAATACAGAGCCTTGCATATGCTAGAATGGTGCTCTACCCTTGAGCTACACCACCAAGCCATTAAGTTACTTTTCTGTTGTTAGGCTGGGTAGACTGAGAATTCATGCACAGTATAAATTTATTTCACTCATAGTTCCACAGGCTGGGAGTGTAAGACCTGGGGCCACAGTGGCTGGAGTCTCCTTGCTGCACTGCAACACAGCAGAAGGCCAAGAGAGCAGTGAGGGTCCAGGAGAGGGCTGGACTCACAACAGACTCTCAGGTCCATTCCCAGTTATTTTTCACTACTGAGGATTCAATCCAGAGCCTTAGCACTGAGCCATAATCTCAAGTCTGTTTGTTTTTTGCTTAAGACAGGTTCTGGCTATGTATTTCGGGCTGGCCTTGAACCATGGCAATCCTCTTACCTCAGCCCCCCAAGTGCTAGGACTGTAGTGCCACCATGCCCAGCTCTTCTAGCTTGTTGTTTTTTGTTTTTTGTTTTTTGTTTTTTTTTTTTTTTTTGGTACCAGGGATCGAACTCACCACCTAGTACTTGCCAGGCAGGTGCTTATGCTGCTGAGCTAAATCCCCAGTCATCTTCTAGCTTGTTAATTGAACACAATAAGGGTGTCATGAGAGTCTTAGAGTTTGAAGTAGAGAAAGATAGTCTCGTGTCACTGAAACCTCAATTTGTGGTAAGGATTTGAATTTTTTTGTTTTGTGTTTTAGACAATGTTTTTCTATGTTGCTGGGGGCTGGTCTTGAGCTCCTGGACTCAAGTGAGCCTCCTGCCTGGGTCCCAAGTAGTAGGTGTTATAGGTCCACACCACCACACCCTGCAAACTTGTGGGATCTGATGTTGCCTTTGGGCAGATAGTCAGACTTGAATTAGAGGACACTTGATGTTATGGTTTATATTTGGACGTCTCTCAAAGCCTCATGCATTCATAGGTGGGAATTTTGGGAGATGGCTGGATCATGAGAGTGTGGTATTCACCTATGCATTAGTCTACTGGTAAGTTTAGAGTTAAATGTAATGTTGGGAGCTGGAGCCTACTCCAAGGAGGTGACTCACTGGGGGCGTGACCTGGATAAGTGAATCTCCTTCCCCACTCCTCCCTCTCCTGCTTCTCCTCCACTACTCTATCAGATTTTTCCTCTGTGCTACCCTTCTGCCATGCAGCTCTGCCTTGGAGCCAGCCAACTATGGGCAGACACCTCTACAAACTGTGAAACCTCTTTTCCTTTATTTTGTGAATTTGGGTATTGTGTCCCAGTGATAAGAAACTGAGACCCAGCCACTCTCTGCTGGGTGTCTGGGAAGAAATTCTTGGTGTCTGGAAAAAAATTCTTCTTGCATATCTTGGGTCAGAAGAGTTGAAATCAGGTACAGTAGTGTAGGTTAAAGCAGGAGGATTGCAAATTTGAGCCCAGCCTAGGCTCAAAATAAATGAAAAAGAACTGGAGGTGTGGCTCAGTGCAAAGACCCTAAATTCAATCCCCAGTATCACAACAATGACCAGAAAGGGTTGAATGAGAGTAGGATAGGAAAAGCATGCCGTTTTTTCTTATCCTCCCACACAGACTCCACCAGCTCTTAGCCAAAAGGCTGAGAAGCAATCTCCCATACAGACTCAGTGTAGTCCTCGTTAAAATTCAGAAACAGAAAAGCTAGTCCTCAAATCAAAATGGAATTGGAACCTCTCTGAGATTTGGTGTCCACAACATGAATATAGCAACATGGGGAGGAAAGGGAAGGAAGCTGGGTCAATGGGACCTAGTAAGGATCTAAAGTGAAACCTGAAGCTCACAGGAAGAATGAAGAGAGACCTCAGTGAAGACAAGGAGGTGGTGAGAAGAGCTTTCTCTCCTTAGCCTGGGACTCATTGTGTGGGAGGGGCAGCTCAAACCTGCAGACACATGGTGACTACTGACAATGCCAGAGGCCTCCATGATGAAATGCACCAGTGGAGTGCAGCAGTGGAGGCAGCAGACTACAGTAGTTGGTGAGTTATTTGGGTTCAGACATTCCCAGGAGAGGCGTCTAGCCCAGAGCCATCTTGAACAGAGGCCAACTGAGCTGGAATTCAGAGCACCTACAGCCTGGCTCCAGCTCGCAGCTCCCAGGGTCAGGGTGAGGTAGAACTGAGTTCAGATTCGCAAGAGGCACATAGAGTGTTGCAGGCTGAACAAATAAGGTTTCAACCTCACAAGCCAGAAACCAGCCTAAAGGTCAGTGCAACTAAAAATACAGGGCTGTTGCCAGGCGTGGTGGCTCACGCCTATAATCCCAGCACTCGGGAGGCTGAGGCAGGAGGATCGTTGTGAGTTCAAGACCAGCCTGGGCTACAAAGTGAGCTCAAGGCCAGCCTGAATTGCATAGCAAGATCCTGTCTCAAAAAGACCAAAAAAAATAAATAAATAAATAAAATAAAAATACAGGGCTGCTAAGATTATTCATTGCATCACAGATCTGGGTTCTGTCTGCCTACTTTGTCAACTGGTGACAGCAGAGACATGCCTTGAAGTGGACATCTTTTTCTTATTTTGTTTTTGTTTTTTTGTCGGTACTGGGGATCAAACTCACGACCGCCTGCTTGCAAGGCAGGTGCTTATGCCGCTGAGCTAAATCCCCAGCCCCTTTGGTTCTTTTTTTATTTTCTCATTTTTGTTTTATTTTCTTTTTTATTATTCTCATTTTATATGTGAACACTGTATGTAGTTTTTGGCTGTTGTTGTTCTGTTCTGTTCTTATTTTTATTTCTTCCTTTTCTCTTTCCCTCCTGTCTTCTTCATCAGTTCCCCAAGTTTGTGTAATCTCCCTTGGTCCTCCAGCCTTACTTGTATCTCTGCTGCTTCTTCCATTTATATCCCCCCCCCAGCTTCTTTTAAATTTTCTCCCCTGAGGATAAAATTGCCATTTTGAAGATTTATGTACTGCATACAATTTTCTGGTTTGTTTTAGATTTTGTTATATAATTACAAAATTTGCATATGGTGAAAGATGGCAAATTAATAGTTACTTACAGTTTGTCATTTTCTTTCTTTTTTTTTTTTTTTAAAGGACTAGAGAGCACTCACGGGTCTGGAACCCCCCGGCCAATCGGCCTGGGTGGTTGGGAAGCCAGACTCGAAGAAACTGCTGGGCTAAAGCCAGCCCAGTTTGTCATTTTCTAGGCTGTTTAATGCTGTTGTTATTGTTGATTGTACTACATTAGCCAAGGTGACATAACTGTTCTAATCAGCTGTTCTTCATAGTATGCCAAGACTGAGACTGCCTAAGGGTCATAAGCAATACTGCAAGCCAGTGCCAAAGAAACAGGGGCTGGGACAAATAGGCAGCAACTTCTCATCCCCAGTAAACTGAGAAGATTGGATCTCACAACAGACTCAAAACCCAAAGGCCAGCTATACCTGGAAGATACTTCTGAGGTGTAGTTATTTCCTAAGCATTGTAAAGACTAGCAATAAAGCTACTTCCATAAGCAATTTGCAATCCTTGACACTGGAATTAAACTAAAAGAAATGGAATATAAAAATGAAATCTTCATTTATTTTGCCTATTATGGATTAAGAACTGGTGGTCAACTTAACGCCAGCTGGATTACATCAGCATGGTGCTGAGTGTAGATGTTCCACCTGAGGAAAGTTGCCAGCATAAATAGAGACATGGAGAAGGAGAAACTATTGCAATGAGGCGTTGAAACATTTTATGTTCTCTATGTGTTGTTCTTTGAGCCATTAGGTTCTCCTATAGAAGCTTTGGTCCTCACATTGAGCATTGCTTCCTGGCTCCTGAGGGAAAGACATGTGCCACTTGGTCTCTAGGATGAACTTGTCACACTGGCTTCCTGGCACATACTTGACTGTGCTTGTTGTTGGAGGAGCTCGGGGCCTGCAGGTCATTGAGGATGGCTGTGGTGCTTTTCAGGACAGCCCTGATCTTTGTTGTGAAATGTGACTTCTCAGCTCCAGCTTAAAACCCTCAACCTATCAGGACAGGTCCTTCACCCTGCTGGCATGGATTTCTTAGCTTCCACCATTGCTCTTTGGGCCTTCCCAGCACAGATCTGTAAAAGAGACTGGCATGAGTCCTTGTGGGCTCTAGGCCTCCAGTTGGACTCATGGGAAGAGGCATTGTCACGAGCTCTGGGTCTTCATCTGGACTCATGTGGGACATTGCTGTGGGATTCAGGGCCTTGGCTGAATATTCTATGTCTTTGGTGCTGTGGATAGATTTCCTGCATTTTGTTGTGTTAACTCTGGGTGACCATCATAAAAATAATATTATAAACTCCATGTTCTGATTCTAATTGTTCTCTGCACAGCCCCTGACTACAACCATCACCCCTTTGTTTATTTGATCCCTGCAAAAACCAGATGGATGGTGGAGGAGGACAGTGAACAACTGCAAACTCAAACACAGCTAGAGCTAATTAACAGGGCCTCAAGTGTGTATATATTCAGCCGTTGCCCTTGGCAAACACTGTTTTCCATTTTTGGGGGGCCAGAGATTAAACTTACGACCTCACATTTGCCAAGCAGGCACTACGCCACTGACCTAAAACCCTGGCCCAACACTTTTTCTTATTCCTATCAGAAAGGAGATGCTGGGGTTCAGGATGAGACTCTAGGGGACCAGAATATGCCACCCTAAAACATACTTCTTTGGAATATTTGAGCCAGCTGTTCTGAGATACTGAAGATACAGTAGTAGCTCTAAAAACTTGTCCTTTCTTAAAAAAAGCAAGAAATCAAGCCAGCAAGTCTGCCAGATATGGTGGTTCAAGTCTGTACTCCCAGCACTTAGGAGGCTGAGGCACGAGGATCACTGCAAGTTCTAGGATATCCGGGACTGTATAGCCAGCCTGAACTACATAGTAAAACTCTGTTAAAAACTAATAACAAAAAAAGTAAAATATCTGTATCAAGAGCCCTAAGCCCTGAGAGCTGCAAGTGGTCCAGACCAGGTCCAGTAGCTACAGGCAGCCCAGCAAATCCAGGTTGCTGAAACCCTCGAGGAGCCAATCCTACACCAGCAAATCCAGGCTCACCTGATTGCTGGCCAGACTCCTACTAGGGATCAGCAGATTTAAATCTGGGCCATGGAGCACTTTCCCCACCACATGGGCAGCACAGCTCACGTGAGACGGGGAGCAGTGGTTGGTAAGGCCAGTGTCCTCCAGTTGGTGAAGAAATGCAAAGTGGTGATGCCTGTCACCTAGGCCATCTCAAAGCAGCCGGGCTCTGCTTTAGCCATTCTGCAGCACCAGCAACAGCACTGTGTTTTTGAGGCTGGACTTACCCACAGTAGACAGCGCCCATTTGTACAGTGCCCTACAGGAGAAACTTGAACCATCCTTCTGTTTTTTCCTGCTGTTACTCTGCCCAGTCCCAGGGATCCTCAGCAGCACAGCATTACCTGCACTGGCATTTTCTGGAAGCACAAAGTTGACATCCGCTTCTTGCCACAGCCCCAGGTGGAGGATGACGAGAAGATGGTGGGAACCTTACCTGTGGTGGAAGACTCCTGTGAAGAGGTAGTGCACAGCCCTGCAAACTCTCCAGCACATTCCGGTGGCGGCGCAGGGTGTAATGCCAGAAGACACCTCCAACTGTCCATACAGGGGATCTTCACAGCAGCCGCAGTAGCAAACCCCTGCAGGAACAGGTGCTGCCAGCACCGCGCACAGCAGCAGCTCCGGGCCGGCTCAGGCAGTCCAAGTTGCAGAAGTTGAACTTCAGTTATGGACAACCACAGCCAGAATGTCTGCGTCCAAATTCTTTGAAGCCAGGCGGCTTGAAGTATAGAGAAACTGGGTCCTGACTAATAATCCTGCTCTGGAGCTGGGGCTCAGAACAGATGCACCCACCAGGAGGCGCCAGCTGCTACAACTCCAAGAGCTCATTGGCTGCAGCCGTGGAAGCTCAAAATGGAGAGAGAAACCCTGTGACTTTTGCTCTACTATGTTTCTCTATGTATTCAAAATTAACTTTTCAAAAATGAAAGGGTAGGTGACATTTTCTCTGAGCTTTTTATTGTCAGTTCACTGAAGGATGTTGGACCTCGGGTCACTGCATTTGGCTACACCCTGACCAAGGAGATGGTACAGAAGGACCGCCAGCTTGGGGCCCACTCCTCACTCGCCCTGCTGGCTGCCCTCACGTGATTTATCACCAGCCACCTCGTGTGCAATACACTGCACCAGCTTCTCTTGCCACAGACAAAGAACCCCTCTGGTCCCGAGGGGAAAAGCCCGAGTATCCAGTTCCTGAAGGCCCTTAGAGTACACCAGACTGGCCAGAAAACTACAGATGACAGGAATGCAGGACAGACAGAAAATCCAGAGAATTTGCTGGGGTGTCCATCAGGCTGTATAATGTCTGTCTCTTCAAATGCCTCCCTAACCCCCAAGTGTGAAAGGCCACGATGACACTTTTACAGGATCCTGCGCCAGCAATGGCCCCCAGCAGCCGGCTGAGGTACTCAGTATGGCCCATCAGCAGAAGGCAGAGGGGACAAAATTCTGACCCCATCCCAGTGATTTGAAAAATTCAGGAAGCCAGAGCAATGGCCAATGCAAGAACCGTGCACTAAGATGTCAAGAAAAACTGGACAAACTTCTGCACAAAGTAAGAGGCCTTGGACTGGGGATACAACTCAGCAGCACAGTGCCTGCCTGGCAAGCGCAAGGTCCTGAGTTTGATTCCCCGTACAAAAAAAATGCTACTATTAAACCAGGTTTAGTGGCACATGTCTGTAATCCCAACACTTGGGAGGATGAGACAAGAGGGTCACTGCAAATTTGAGGTCAGCCCGGGCTACAAAGTTATTGTAATCCCAAATATTGAGTTTAGTCATATAAGTATTGTAATCCCTTTTTTAGTTTTTTTTTACAATCTAAAATGTTATAATTGGTTTTTTTTTCTTTTTTCTTTTCTTTCTTTTTTTGTTTTTATTTATTTATTTATTTATTTATTTTGGTACTGGGGATCGAACTCACAACCTTGTGCTTGCAAGGCAGGCGCTTAGGCCACTGAGCTAAATCCCTGGCTAAAATGTTATAATTGTAATCCTATTGAGACGTTATTGGAATCCCAGCAAGTTAATTTTAATATACCACCACCAATGCAACCCACATCAAGAGTAAAGACACCAAGACATATTTCAAGTTAAGGGCAGCCAAGGGTTTTTAAGTCTAATCCCTGTGAGGACACATGGACAAAGGCTTTGATCCAAGGCCTCTCCCAGAATTTATTATCTTGTGAAGAAGCAGATGGCTCAGGGATGAGTGACAGTGAAGATGTCGGGAATTATGTAAGTAACTTGAGCTGGCTAGCCAGGTAGGGAGAAAAACTTCTCTGAAAGTTGTAGAGATAAAGATATGCAGATGGATCAATTTACATAATAAGGTAGCAACTGAATTGTTTTAGAAGGCTGTTGCTTCAGTAAATTTTTGTTCAGGAGAGTCATAGCCTCTTTACCTTGAGGCTCATAGCCAGTTGACATTCCCGGGTCTATTAGTTCTAACATCCCCCTGTGCTCACATCTTTCTTTTATAAAAAACACTATGTAAAAAAACAGGAGGGCTGGGGATTTAGCTCAGCGGCATAAGCGCCTTGCAAGCAGGCAGTTGTGAGTTCAATCCCTGGTACTGATTAAAAAAAAAAAAAAAAAAAAAAGGAGACTGTCTGTGGCTTTAAGAGATTATATATCAATACCTCAGCTAGCCTTATTGTTTTTTTCTTTTTTTTTTTCGGTTTTGTCTTTTTCCTTTTTATCGGTACCAGGGATCAAACTCACAACTGCCTGCTTGCAATACAGGCGCTTATGCCGCTGAGCTAAATCCCCAGCCCCCTCCTTCAGCTAGCCTTATTTATAATGCTCATAGCCAATTAAAAAAAAAAAAAACATAGCCAGCTCTGTACAAATCAATATAAAAAATAAGTCTCCACACAATCAAAGCTACAATAATTGTTTTACGTTCAAGGGGATACAGTAGAGTTGTCTGCCACAAAAGTGAGTGCAAGTCCAGCCTCAACTGCATAGTGAAACCCTGGCTAAAAAAAAAAAACAGGCCTCCACTTGTTTTGTTATTATTATTTTTAAATTATTATTATTTTATGGTGTAGTTATAAAGTCTTTTAGGCAACTTCTGTTTAAAGTTCAAAAGAAAATTTTGTTCTTTTTATATCTTCGCTGACCTGCAAGCAGACTCCTTGGCCCTGCCTGAGGCTTCCGGAGAACAAAGTGTCCCAGAAAGTTGAGGGCTAACTTTTATCTGGGCCCTGAGGAAAGGACTGGGTCGGATAGGAGAAAGGCCTCTTCCCTTGCTCAGGATACAGCTAACCAGGGACCAACCTCCAGGGATCCCAGCAGCTTCTGCACTGGCCTGGTGAGCACCACTGACCACAAGGGAGTTGTGTTCTCTTCACCTTCATCACCAAGTACAAGCATAGCATCTAATGAACAAAAAGAAAGGAGAAACTCAATTACGGTTTTTTTTTTTTTTTTTTTTTGTCTTTTTCTTTTTTATCGGTACCGGGGATCGAACTCATGACTGCCTGCTTGCAAGGCAGGTGCTTATGCCACTGCGCTAAATCTCCAGCCCTCGGTTTTTTTCAATTATGGTTTATTAAATATAATTTCTATCACATCCTCTTCACGCAAGTGACACTTTAGTTGCTAAAGTAAAATCTTTGACATGCACTTTTTTTTTTCTGGCCTAACATCAAGGCCCGAAACCTGAGGGTCCTACGCTTGATGCAATTCTTTTTTTTTTTTTTTTTTTGGTCTGGTTTTTTTTTTTGAGACAGGGTCTCCCTGTGCATGTGATTCAGGCTGGCTTTAAACTCACTTCTAGCCAAAGCTGGCCTTGAACTTGAAATGATCTTTTATGTATTCTTACTCTAGTTGTTTAGTAAAAATGATAAACACAGCAGGCATGGTGGCACGCCCCTGTAATCCCAGCACTCAAGAGGCTGAGGCAGCAGGACAACCATGAGTTTGAAGGCATTCTAGGCTACATATACAAGTTCCCGGCCAGCCTCAGTACATAGACACTGCTTTACAAAAAAAAAAAGAGGGTTGTTTGAAGATACTTTCTTCACTGGGGATGCTCATTTATGCCTATCATCCCAGCACTGGGAGGCTGAGGCAGGATGATTGCTATGAGTTTGAAGCCAGCCTGTCCTACATACTGAGCCTGAAATACATAGTGAGACCTTGTCTTCAAAAAGAAGAGGGCCTCATACATGCTAAACAAGGGCTCTACCACTGAGCTATATCCCCAACCCTTTTTATTTTATTTTGGGAGGTCTCCTTAGTTGCCCAGGCTGACCTGCACCAGCTTCAGCCTCCCAAATAGCTGTGATTACAAATTATTTCACCTCACCCAGCACTGAGATGCACTTTTACCTGGATGACTTTATGTGCAAAACAAGACGAACTCCATTCACCTCACATTTCTTCTCCTAACCCTTTACCCAGCACTTGTATTTCTGTCACCCACCCACCCCAGCAGCAGCACTGTTTATTTTGGTAGTATGAGATGCTATATAAGCATCACTCATCTGACCCTTCCTCAGTCTCATAGTCTGTGGGACTCTTGTATGCAGGTATGTATGGATTTGCTCCAGTTAAT